TGAGTGCATATTAGAGATGTAGTTCAAAGGAATTAAGACTTGTGATAAGTCTATTTCCTAGATTAATTTCATAGTATGGTAGTTATGAACATGCATACATTATAGTCTTTAAACATGCATAAGTTATATATGTTGACATACGATTCGATACATGATCCATGTGAATGTACTCAAATACTTATATTACATGATATGAGATTAATGGTTATATGTACATGGGAAATGTGATAGAAAAAATAATATATATGGTTACAAGGGAAATGATACAAGTACATAGTTATATGAAATATAATATTAATGCCCATATTATGTAATGTGAGAGCTATAGGTATAGTTGGCATGCCAAGAGTCGAGGGTTTCATAGGTCATTCGGGACAATTCATATATCCTTCGGGATATACTCACAGATCCTTCAGGACAATTTCATATGTCACTCAGTGAGAATTATACGAGCTGTGGCGACAGCAGATGTGCACAACCTCTATGTACTCGAATACCTTAAGTTCTCAGTATATACATGGGCCTATAAATAATGTGAAAAGTGTGTATTTCATTATATGTGATAGCATCAATATTGTTTATAGCGAATCATATGAATTGATATGGAATTCTGAATGTTATGTTGCATGTTCATATACATAATAGATGCATTATTATAGATTTATGCCTCACTAAGTCTATAACTTAGTGTGTAAGTGATTTACACGTAGGTACAGAAAAGCAAGAAGATCGGTCTTAGGAGCAGCAGATCAGTATATCCTTATTTGAAGATCATATCAGAAGCACCTTACATAGTATGTCAATTTATATTTTATATGGGTTGGCATGTAAATAGAGTCATATGGTATGTACGCTCTGATCGAGGTGTAATGTTTTGAACTCGGTAATGTAATTATAGTTTTGTATTAATGAAAGTTTTAAATTTATGATGGTTTTATAAAAGCAAAAGCTTTGAAAAGTCAATGTGACACCTTCGATTCGTATTCGGGTCAGATACGGGTTAGGGGTGTTACATTTAATGGTATCAGAGCTACAGTTTAGTTGATTCTTGGCATAAACCGAAGTCCAAAGTGTCATAAAAAGTGTACATGCCAACATAGTAGTAAGAACTTCTGATCTGATAAGAGTAATGAGTATGTTGTTTAGCTAATATAGATATTTGATTATGTTTTATTAGATGTTCGGATAAGATAGCTCCCTAAGTGAAGCGGGAGATGAGAGATTAGCTGAGAGCAGTAATTCACCTGCCCTGGCCAGACAAGGTGAAGAACACGCACCTTCTGGAGTGCCTGTAGCTGATCAAGATGTATTCTTCAGGACGTTGAACGTGGTATTGGCGCGTTTCCAACCTCATGCTACTTCAACTCCGAAAATGAATGTTGTAAAGGAGTTGAAGGGTTTAGGAGCTCCAGAGCTTCAGGGTAAAATCGAAGAAGGTCCCATTGCTGCGAACCTTTGGCTCAATGACGTGAAGATTATGTTAGAAGGACTCCACAGTTCTGATGTGAAGAACCTTGACGGAGTAGTCTCCATGCTTCGTGGGCAAGCGAGAATATGGTGGACAAATGTCACATTGAGGATGACAAGTGATCGTGTGACATGGTCTCTATTTCTAGAAGAATTTTGGCACAAGTATATAGGGGATCAGTTTATCAAACAAATGAAGCAAGAATTTCTGAACTTAAAGAAAATGAACCACACGGTGTATGAATATGAGTGAGAGTTTAACAAAATAAGTCGCTTTACAGCGAAACTAGTGCCTACAGAGAATAATGCCTGTAAATGGTTTGTGGATAGCTTGCGCCCGAGGTTAAAAGAGATGTTTATTGTACTGAATTTGTCCTCATTCCAAAAAGTAGTGAACTGTGATAAAGCTCTAGAGAGAGCTCAGAATGAGCAGTTTGGGGAGTAAAGATCCCAACCATCCAAAAGAACTAGAGTTTCATCGAGTTTTTCACCGCCCAAGAGAGGTAGAGATTCAGGCTTTCGATCTCATGCAAGGTCGGAATCAATGTCATCCTCTGCTAGAGGATCAAATCAGATGAGAGTCAGTCAGACTCAATCTATAGGGTCTGGTGAAGGGCGAGTACAATAGAGTCAAGTTAGACAGTGTCAGATTTGTGGGAGAAATCATAGTGGCATATGCAGAGTTAAAATAAGAGCTTATTTTCGATGTGGGGAAACAAGGCATTTTATGAGGGATTCTTCTTTGAGGACCGAAGAGCCAATCCAACTAGAAAGATCTGCTTCAATTTCTCAGAGGGGACGAGGTAGAGGTAGAGGTAGAGGTAGAGGAAGAAATCTGACAGAATCTGCTACTCAACAGGAGGTTCGATCCACTGCTCGGGTGTATAACCTCAAAACCAATGAATACCGGGATAATCTAGAAATTATAACAGGTACCTTTTTACTGTGGGAATAGATGTGTTATGGTATTGATTGATTCGGTATCTACCTATTCATACATTAATAGTAAGATAGTGAAAGAATTAAACATTCCATTAGAAGACACCAGTAATGAAGTTACAGTTATGAATCCGTTATGGCACAGTGCTCGAGTTAATAGAAGGTGTCGAGGGTGTCCCATACGAACTCAGGGAATTGAATTCCCTGCTAATCTGATGGGCTTACCTTTTGACTAATTTGAAGTAATCTTGGGAATGGATTGGTTATACCGTTATCATGCAAATGTTGATTGTAGATTAAAGAGGGTAACGTTAGTCAACTCATATGGATTAAAAGTGGCAGTATTCAGTGAAGGATTGAATCCATTGGCAAATGTTATTTCTGTGATGTTAGCAAAGAAGCTATTACTGCAGGGATGTCAGGGGTTTATTGCGAATGTATTGGATGTGAGAACTAAAGAGAAGGGGATTGAGGAAATTCCCATAGTTCGAGAATTTCCTGATTTATTTCCTACAGAATTATCGGGTTTGCCTCCAGATAGAGAGGTGGAATTCCAGATCAAGATAATGTCGGGAACTGCGCCTATTTCCATGGCACCATATAGAATGGCTCCAAAAGAGTTGCAAGAATTAAAGATTCAGCTGTAGGAGTTATTAGACAAAGGATTTATAAGACCGAGTGTTTCGTCATGGAGAGCTCCAGTATTGTTCGTCAAAAAGAATGATGGATCAATGTGTATCTGTATCGACTATAGACAACTCAATAAAGTAATAATTAAGAATAAGTATCATCTCCCTAGAATTGATGATTTATTTGATCAGTTGAAGGGAGCTTCAGTCTTCTCTAAGATTGACTTGCGATCGGGATATCATCAATTGAAAGTTCAAGAGAAATATATTCCAAAAATTGCATTTAGAACGAGGTATGGCCACTATGAGTTCATTGTGATGCCCTTCGGAGTTACAAATGCACCAGATGCTTTTATGGACTTGATGAATCGAATTTTTCAACCTTATTTGGACCAATTTGTAGTGGTGTTTATCGATGACATATTGGTATATTCAAAGACAAATGAAGAGCATAGTGCACATTTTAAGATAGTCTTGCAAACTCTTCGAGACAATAAGTTATATGCCAAGCTATCCAAATATGAATTCTGGTTGAATAAAATTATATTTCTCAGACATGTGATTTTTGCAGAAGGAATTCGAGTGGATCCTCAGGAAGTAAAAGCTATCCTTGAATGGGAGGTTCCCAAGAATGTATCTGAAGTTCACAGTTTTCTAGGACTTGCCGGTTATTATCAAAGGTTCGTTAAGAACTTTTTGATGATCGCTATACCATATACAAAGTTGATAAGAAAAGGTGTAACATTTCTGTGGACCCTTGAATGTCAAGAAAGTTTTGATATACTGAAAAAGATTTTGACAGAAGCTCCAGTATTAATTCAACCGGAGTCTAGTAAAAACTACATGGTCTATAGTGACGCGTTCCATAATGGCTTGGGATGTGTACTAATACAAGAGGGTAAAGTGGTAGCGTATGTGTCGAGACAATTAAAACCACACGAGAAAAATTATCCTACACATGATCTGGAGATGGATGCAGTGATATTCGCCCTGAATATCTGGCGCCACTACTTGTATTGTGAATGATGTTATATATATACAGATCATAAGAGTCTGAAATATCTGATGACCCAGAAGGAGTTGAATTTAAGGAAAAGGAGGTGGATAGAAATTTTGAAAGATTATAATGTTGTTATAGATTTATATCCTGGAAAAGTAAATGTGGTAGCAGATGCTTTAAGCCGAAAGATGTTTGCAGCCTTACGAGCCTTAGATGCTAGGTTGTCATTGAATGATGATGGTTCTTTATGTGTAGAATTAACCCTTCGTCCATCATGGATAGATAGAATCAAAGAATTACAAGCTAGAGATGAAGAGTGTTCAAAGAGGTTACAGCAAGTAAATAATGAAGAGCTTACTGATTATGAGGTTAAGACTAATGAGAATTTATACTATCGAGTGAGACTAGTAATTCCAGATGATAAGAAGTTGATAAATGAGTTGTTAACAGAAGCTCATTGTAGTCCATTGACGATGCATCCTGGAGGAAACAAAATGTATATGGATCTCAAGAGCTGGTATTGGTGGTCGGGAATGAAAAGGAACATTACGAAATTCGTATCCAAGTGTTTGACTTGTCAGCAAGTAAAAGCTAAACATCAAGTTCCGTCAGGATTATTGCAACCCATGTCGATTCCTCAGTGGAAATGAGAGAATGTAACGATGGACTTTGTGACGGGATTACCTCTAACTCCGAACAAAAGAGATTCAATCTGGGTGATTGTAGATAGATTGACTAAATCAGCCCATTTCATTCCAGTACGAGCAGATTTCTCCATGGATAAGTATGTCAAGTTATATATCAGAGAGATTATACGGTTGCATAGAGTACTTGTTTCCATAGTTTCTGATCGAGATCCTCGATTTACTTCGAGATTTTGGAAATAATTACATGGAGCATTGGGAACTTGATTGAATTTTAGCACCGCGTTTCATCCTCAGACCGATAACCGTAGATCATATCTT